TTAGTTAGTTAGTTAGTAGTTAGTTAGTTAGTTAGTTAGTTAGTTAGTTAGTTAGTTAGTTAGTTAGTTAGTTAGTTAGTTAGTTAGTTAGTTAGTTAGTTAGTTAGTTAGTTAGTTAGTTAGTTAGTTAGTTAGTTAGTTAGTTAGTTAGTTAGTTAGTTAGTTAGTTAGTTAGTTAGTTAGTTAGTTAGTTAGTTAGTTAGTTAGTTAGTTAGTTAGTTAGTTAGTTAGTTAGTTAGTTAGTTAGTTAGTTAGTTAGTTAGTTAGTTAGTTAGTTAGTTAGTTAGTTAGTTAGTTAGTTAGTTAGTTAGTTAGTTAGTTAGTTAGTTTAGTTGGTTAGTTAGTTAGTTAGTTAGTTAGTTAGTTAGTTAGTTAGTTAGTTAGTTCATCAGTAATGATGTATCCGCAAAAAAGTCATGCATTCCGGGTCCGTTGTGCGTTTACAACATAATTGCCTATAGCGATATGGGGTTTTTCTTTTCCGTTGGATTTTTTAGTGATGCATTTTGGCGCTTTTCCTTCTTAAACCACAGATAGTCCAATTACTTCAACTCTCCCTTTTGTTTCTATTCCACATCTAGAGCATGTTCCTGAAAAATAACTCTTGCTTAAGGAAGTAAAAACAATATAGAGATAAACCACTTCAAAAGTCATCAATTATAATTGATTCCACTATTATTCACTCAAACTCACACTTACCTCTTTAAAAGCAACATGATCATCATCATAATCTTCGCAACCAACGTTCATAAATGTATTTTTAGTGGTTTGTTTTTTAAAAAAGCATATTTTAGTGGTTCTTTTTATTGTTTTACTAAAGAGCCCTTAAAACTTTGATTCCTTATGCAGTAACTGTCTTGTTCACTATACATTTTGTTATTGTCCTTTACATTGTTCTCGTTTAACCCCCCGCCTAGTGTTTATAAAAAACCGACTTTTGGAAAAACCGGTTTTTCGGTTAACCGAAAATTGACCATTTCTAAAAAACCGGTTTGTCGGTTAACCGAGTACAAAAAAACCGGTTAAACCGGTTAACCAAAATGTTTGGAAATCTTTAAAATATTATAATATTTAGTTGAAAAATTTCATTTTGCGAAATATTATGAATTACTTAATAAGATATTTGCACTTTTTAGTATAAATATGTACATTAATATATCATAAGAAAGCAAACTTATACAGATCTGAAGTTATTATTGATTCGTCAGGTATATGGAAGTTGCCATAGGAGGAATAAATTGACCTTTGAATATATAATGCATCTATATCAATAAAAATTTTATGTCCAACACTAGTATAAATAGTGTTCAGGCTCGCGACGATTCATCGGGAACGGACGTAGACGACGACTGTCTCGACATAGACATTGAGCCACTGCTTTAATTGTGACCACCCTCCGCTCGCTACGCCTGTGGTTGTTCAAATTACTGTGAATGACACTTAGGAATATTGACAGGTGTCATTACTTCCTTCCTGATAATCAACCTAAGCGCCATTACAGTTTGTGAAAAACCCCAGCAGCATAAATTCTCGGACAGCGACAATTACCCTTATGTTTCGATAAATAAAATCCGTTTTGAGAACGTTTGACAAACTTCTCGATTTTTATTATACTCACGCAGTAAACAAGGAAGTGCATTTTATAATCAACGTTATTTATTCGTCTTAATAAGTAACAAATTTCTTCATATAATGGTTGGAATTTGTTTAAATACTTAATTTTTTATTGGTTTAAATGCCATCTTTTTACTAATTTCCTGATTGTCTGAAATTGTAAATCTCCATTTTATATGCATAATATATGTTTAACATTTCCTAACATTTGTTTAACAATCTCAACTATCCAAGATTTTTAAAAATCACAATAAAAAATCAAAGAAAACATACAATTTTGTACTAAAAATTAGATTTTTTTGAAATCGGTTAACCGAGACTTAAAAACCGGATAACCCGGTTAACCGAAAACCAATGTTTTAAAAAAACCGGTTTGCGAAAAACCGAAATATGCAATAAAAACCGGTTCTTCGGTTAACCGGTTAACCGGTTTATAAACACTACCCCCGCCTAAAGGCAGGAAAAAAAAAACTTTCAATTATTAATAACAATGACGATTATCTGCTCATTAGTGTTATACAAGCTTTTGACTTCCTTCCGTTCTAAGGCAGAAGTATAACAGTTGTTATTTGTTGGTTATTACTTTTTTTATATAGAAATTTGTTTAACATTTTGAAATTGTTTTTTCCTTTCCAATTTATGGTTGGTTTTTGAAATGAATGGTGGTAAAACAAAAAAAAAAACTTTGCATATTTTCAGACGTTATAATTGTTTTAAAAACCCAAACAACAGGATAATGGTTTGTGTTGCCACTTGCCACAAAAAAATAAAAAAAAAACAAAATACAAGGACTTGATTTCATTTTTGTTCTCTTCTCTCAAGTGCTTGATGGTTGCATGGAAAAAATTTCCATGTGAATAAGATGAACAAAAAGGGCGGGCGTTTATTATTTGTAACAAAGAATGTAAAATAAAAAATATATATTTATATACATATACAGACATATATATTCTTTTTGTTATTATTCCGTTTGGAAAAATGTTATAAATTGTATTTATGCTTTGAGGCATAAATGAACTTGTGACAGTATGATGACGATAAAGATGTGATGATGTTGTGATTGCTGCTGCTTCTGTTGACAGTTATCTCTTTTTATGTGTTTTTGTGTTAATAAATTGACGTTTAGAATTCTACTTGTTTTAGCATTTATTTTCGTAATGTAACATACTTAAACTTTTTTCCACTTTTTTTTTTCTATTTATATTAATTAAAAACGTTTTACTTTTACAAATGTATCATAAAAAAGAGTCATTTATTTATCTATTTATTTATTGAATACAAATCAATTTTAGATAATTATTTCAGATGCGAGGTTAGTCTTTCAAAATACCGGAACTTTACTAGTTCAGTTCTAGTTCAGTTCTAGTTCAGTTCTAGTTCAGTTCTAGTTCAGTTCTAGTTCAGTTCTAGTTCAGTTCTAGTTCAGTTCTAGTTCAGTTCTAGTTCAGTTCTAGTTCAGTTCTAGTTCAGTTCTAGTTCAGTTCTAGTTCAGTTCTAGTTCAGTTCTAGTTCAGTTCTAGTTCAGTTCTAGTTCAGTTCTATAGTTCAGTTCTAGTTCAGTTCTAGTTCAGTTCTAGTTCAGTTCTAGTTCAGTTCTAGTTCAGTTCTAGTTCAGTTCTAATTCTGTTCAGTTCTAGTTCAGTTCTAGTTCAGTTCTAGTCTAGTTCAGTTCTAGTTCAGTTCTAGTTTCAGTTCTAGTTCAGTTCTAGTTCAGTTCTAGTTCAGTTCTAGTTCAGTTCTAGTTCAGTTCTTAGTTCAGTTCTAGTTCAGTTCTAGTTCAGTTCTAGTTCAGTTCTAGTTCAGTTCTAGTTCAGTTCTAGTTCAGTTCTAGTTCAGTTCTAGTTAAGTTCTAGTTCAGTTCTAGTTCAGTTCTAGTTCAGTTCTAGTTCAGTTTCTAGTTCGTTCTAGTTTCAGTTCTAGTTCAGTTCTAGTTCAGTTCTAGTTCAGTTTCTAGTTCAGTTCTAGTCAGTTCTAGTTCAGTTCTAGTTCAGTTCTAGTTCAGTTCTAGTTCAGTTCTAGTTCAGTTCTAGTTCAGTTCTAGTTCAGTTCTAGTTCAGTTCTAGTTCAGTTCTAGTTCAGTTCTAGTTCAGTTCTAGTTCAGTTCTAGTTCAGTCTAGGTTCTAGTCAGTTCTAGTCAGTCTAGTTCAGTTCTAGTTCAGTTCTAGTTCAGTTTCTAGTTCAGTTCTATGTTCAGTTCTAGTCAGTTCTATGTTCAGTCTAGTTCCGTTAGTTCAGTTCTAGTTCAGTTCTAGTTCAGTTCTAGTTCAGTTCTAGTTCAGTCTAGTTCAGTTCTAGTTCAGTTCTAGGTTCAGTTCTACTTCAGTTCTACTTCAGTTCTAGTTCAGTTCTAGTTCAGTTCTAGTTCAGTTCTAGATCAGTTCTCGTTCAGTTCTAGTTCAGTTCTAGTTCAGTTCTAGTTCAGTTCTAGTTCAGTCTAGTTTAGTTCTAGTTTAGTTCTAGTTCAGTTCTAGTTCAGTTCTAGTTCAGTTCTAGTTCAGTTCTAGTTCAGTTCTAGTTCAGTTTCTAGTTCAGTTCTAGTTCGGTTCTAGTTCAGTTCTAGTTCAGTTCTAGTTCAGTTCTAGTTCAGTTCTAGTTCAGTTCTAGTTCAGTTCTAGTTCAGTTCTAGTTCAGTTCTAGTTCAGTTCTAGTTCAGTTCTAGTTCAGTTCTAGTTCAGTTCTAGTTCAGTTCTAGTTCAGTTCTAGTTCAGTTCTAGTTCAGTTCTAGTTCAGTTCTAGTTTAGTTCTAGTTCAGTTCTAGTTCAGTTCTAGTTCAGTTCTATTTCAGTTCTAGCTCAGTTCTAGTTCAGTTCTAGTTCAGTTCTAGTTCAGTTCTAATTCAGATCTAGTGTTTTGTACTACTGATTAAGGAATGTTTCCCCATACACCGTAATCGGTAACGAAAACAAAATTTCATACATTCGAGACGAAAAAAACTTATTTTTTTTTCGGTACAAATATATGAAATTTCGTTTTCTGCACTGATTACGGTGTATGCGGAAATGAGCCTTTAGATCGACGGTGGCAATTGGCCAAACATACCCCTGAGGGCATTGTGTTATTCTCACTTATACACACGCAACATGAATTTCTCATCAACAATTAGTTTAGTTGCTCTCTTTATGAAATGATACACAGAGTTTGTATGAATACTTTCGATAGATAGATTTATTAGACAAATAGCTATTTTTAATTAATATATTTGTATTTGTCAAGCAATTAATTGCCGAAATTTTTTTCGATTAACCGATTCGATTTTGGCTAAATACATTTCACTGAATTAGGTTAAAAATTGCATAGCGTAATCTCTGCATTAAAACCTGCTTTTAATTCAGCACTTTTTTTCAACGAATTCGCTCTTTTCTATGAAGGAGTTTTGGCAAACACTGCGTGTGAGTACGTTGTTGTAAATATCGTAACGGCCGAAAAGCACCCGGGGGTGGAATAGGACTCCTAGCATTATATCTAATAATTCTAGATGGATTTAATTGTTTCTGATAAAGTTCTTTAGCGAGACATGCTTCCTCAAGTTCGTCATGGTAGTTATTATCATATTTTGGAATAATTTTACTTAATTCTATAGGTAATATTTCATTTATTCCATCTTTCAAATGAATAATATATCTCCTCTCCATTTCGTAATACCTCCAGATACGATTCGCCAGTTCTTTGTCTAATTTCACTTCGTATTTATTAAGGCCCAAGTAATGGTCCAATAATTTTAGATGGATTTAATTGACTCTGATAAAGTTCTTTAGCGAGACATGCTTCCTCAAGTTCGTCATGGTAGTTAATATCATATTTTGGAATAATTTGACTTAATTCTGTAGGTAATATTTCATGTTTTCCATCTTTCAAACGATTAATATATTTCCTCTCCATTTCGTAATACCTCCAGATACGATTCGCCAGTTCTTTGTCTAATTTCACTTCGTATTTATTAAGGCCCAAGTAAGGGTCCAATAATTTTAGATGGATTTAATTGACTCTGATAAAGTTCTTTAGCGAGACATGCTTCCTCAAGTTCGTCATGGTAGTTAATATCATATTTTGAATAATTTGACTTAATTCTGTAGGTAATATTTCATGTTTTCCATCTTTCAAACGATTAATATATCTCCTCTCCATTTCGTAATACCTCCAGATACGATTCGCTAGTTCCTTGTCTAATTTCACTTCGTAATTATTAAGGCCCAAGTAATGGTCCAATAATTTTAGATGGATTTAATTGACTCTGATAAAGTTCTTTAGCGAGACATGCTTCCTCAAATTCGTCATGGTAGTTAATATCATATTTTGGAATAATTTGACTTAATTCTGTAGGTAATATTTCATGTTTTCCATCTTTCAAACGCTTAATATATCTCCTCTCCATTTCGTAATACCTCCAGATACGATTCGCTAGTTCCTTGTCTAATTTCACTTCGTATTTATTAAGGCCCAAGTAATGGTCCAATAATTTTAGATGGATTTAATTGACTCTGATAAAGTTCTTTAGCGAGACATGCTTCCTCACGTTCGTCATGGTAGTTAATATCATATTTTGGAATAATTTGACTTAATTCTGTAGGTAATATTTCATGTTTTCCATCTTTCAAACGATTAATATATCTCCTCTCCATTTCGTAATACCTCCAGATACGATTCGCTAGTTCCTTGTCTAATTTCACTTCGTAATTATTAAAGCCTAAGTCTTGGGACAATTTAGTTAAAAAAGTTTGTTTACTCTATCATTGGTATACAAAGAAAATGGTCTAGCCGTTTGATCTTTGTTTTTCGCATTTATGATATTGTTGTGATCTTGGTGGAACAGTGCAGGAACTTCGTTTCTAATCGATTGAAAACATGGAACTGTTGTCAAAGCACTAGTAGACAGGGGTTTAATACAATGTTGGTTTGTTGTTCTTTTATCTGCCACAACTAATTCCGCAGATTTTCCACAGCAATCAAGATTACCGTAATAATAATTATTTTTTTTTAAGACGTTTGTAATTTTCTCATATAGTTTTTCGATATTTGACGAACACTTCAATTCTAAATAAACTTTACAATAGCTGTTTATAAATGGTGTACCACTTTTCGTACATCTTGGTGAGGTCACTAAATCGGGAACGCTGTAAAATACCGTAACATTGGGTTGCAACTGTTCAATTTTGGTGGGCAAAATATTTTCCGAATCATCATGATCCATATGAGCAGCATCAATACTACCACGGCAGTGGACATTGACGAATGTTATATGTGTATCCTTTAAGAAAACATTCGATTGTATAGGATTTAAAATGTCTTCTATAAAATTTACTTTCGTATCACTTGCGTAAATGATGTTATTTTCCATTCCATGAGTCATTGTTATGAAATATAAACACATAAGCGCACTGAGATCTTTACAACTCAAGAATTCGATCAACTTTAAAATTTCCGATCGTTTAAAATCTTGTATAACAATGTAAGGTGTTCTGGAGATTTGAAATTGTTGTATTAATTGCTGAACATCCTTTTCGCTGCCCTCACGTGTGTTGTGATTTGCAAAATAATATTGATTGATGATAATTGCTAAGGCTGGATTAACATTATTAAAATATAAATCAACATTTGCTTTTGATATCACCGATATTGCACAGAAAATTTTCAAAATCATGTGCAATTCCTTAGCTGATATAAATGGTTGATTTTCTAATATTTTTAATAAATTGTGTAACATTGCGTCGCCAGACTTCTCATGATAGTCTTGAAAAAAGAACGCGTTTTCCAAATTACTCATTACAAAAGTGTAGTAATCTGTTAAGAATAATCCTTTGATAGTTTCAAAATTAAATTTTTTATAAAATGTTGGTAAAATATCATAAAAAGTACAAATCACTTTTAAGTTGTAGCGTAAATGTGTATTACGCTCAATTGCTTCAATTACTAAACGCAAGTTTCTAGCGCGACAAGGATAATAGTAGCAATTGATCACAATGATGATTGACGAGTAATACACGAAGTTCGTATTCCTTATATATTCATAGATCTTATCTTCCTTTAATATATTTACATCCAAATTTCGAATAGAATCATATGATGGTGAATATTTGTTCCAAATTTCTTTTCGATATTCATGATCAAAACAGTCCACAATGATCAGCTTTATTCTCAATCCCAGTGTTTCTAAATCTTGTTTTTCCATATTATAGAACAATGACATTGTTTAATTGAATTACTGGTTTACGTTTTTTGTTGTCAATAATTATAATTTTATTTTATTATTTAGTTTTTATTTGTGCTTGTGAAATGTTATTGATGACAAAGAATTAAATTATTTTATCAGCTGATAACTTTTTTAATCTTTTGTGTAGTGTGTGCTTTCTGTCAAAAGTTTAGGGTTCTATAGTTAAAACAAAAAGTCGACTTTTTTTTTTAAACTGTTGGAAAAAACTAACATTTTTATTTTTTCTTCTTTTCCAATTTCTTTCGATTTTTCGAATTTTTACGGATTTTCTACTTTATTTGTATTTTCTTTTTGTTATAATAACAAAATAAAGCAAAATTTGCTCTTAAACTACTCGCTCGTTATTTTTTTTTGGAGCAAAATAGTCAACTTCGACTTTTTTGACATTTTTCGACAAAAAGTCGATTGTTCGATTATTCGATTTATAGAACCCTATTAAGAATATATTTTGTTTACATTTCAAATGTTACTTTTGACAGTAAGCTAATTCCACTACAAAACAAAATAGAACAGAACTAGAACAAAACTAGAATTAGAAAAGAACTAGAACAGAACTGGAACAGAACTAGAAAAGAACTAGAACAGAACTGGAACAGAACTAGAACAGAACTAGAACAGAACTAGAACAGAACAGAACTAGAACAGAATTAGAACAGAACTAGAACAGAACAGAACTAGAACAGAACTAGAGTAGAACTAGAACAGAACTAGAGTAGAACTAGAACAGAACTAGAACAGAACTAGAACAAAACTAGAACAAAACTAGAACAGAACTAGAACAGAACTAGAACAGAACTAGAACAGAACTCGAACAGAACTCGAACAGAACTAGAACAGAATAGAACAGAATAGAACAGAAACTAGAACAGAACTAGAACAGAACTAGAACAGAACTAGAACAGAAACTAGAACAGAACTAGAACAGAACTAGAACAGAACTAGAACAGAACTAGAACAGAACTAGAACAGAACTAGAACACAACTAGAACACAACTAGAACACAACTAGAACAGAACTAGAACAGAACTAGAACAGAACTAGAACAGAACTAGAACAGAACTAGAACAGAACTAGAACAGAACTAGAACAGAACTAGAACAGAACTAGAACAGAACTAGAACAGAACTAGAACAGAACTAGAACAGAACTAGAACTAGAACAGAACTAGAACAGAACTAGAACAGAACTAGAACAGAACTAGAATTGAACTAGAATTGAACTAGAACAGAACTAGAACAGAACTAGAACAGAACTAGAACAGAACTAGAACAGCACTAGAACAGAACTAGAACAGAACTAGAACAGAACTAGAACAGAACTAGAACAGAACAGAACTAGAACAAAACAAAGAACTAGAACAGAACTAGAACAGAACTAGAACTAGAACCAACTAGAACAGAACTAGAACAGAACTAGAACAGAACTAGAACAGAACTAGAACAGAACTAGAACAGAACTAGAACAGAAACTGAACAGAACTAGAACGAACTAGAAACAAACTAGAACAGAACTAGAACAGAACTAGAACAGAACTAGAACAGAACTAGAACAGAACTAGAACAGAACTAGAACAGAAACTAGAACAGAAACTAGACAGAACTAGAACAGAACTAGACAGAACTAGAACAGAACTAGAACAGAACTAGAACAGAACTAAGAACAGAACTAGAACAGAACTAGAACAGAACTAGAACAGAACTAGAACAGAACTAGAACAGAACTAGAACAAACTAGAACAGAACCTAGAACAGAACTAGAAACTAGAACAGAAGAACAGAACTAGAACAGAACTAGAACAGAACAGAAACTAGAACAGAACTAGAACAAGCTAACTAGAACAGACCAAACTAGAACAGAACTAGAACAGAACTAGAACAGAACTAGAACAGAACTAGAACAGAACTAGAACAGAACTAGAACAGAACTAGAACAGAACTAGAAAAGAACTAGAAAAGAACTAGAACAGAACTAGAACAGAACTAGAACAGAACTAGAACAAAACTAGAACAGAGCTAGAACAGAACTAGAACTAGAACAGAACTAGAACAGAACTAGAACAGAACTAGAACAGAACTAGAACCGAACTAGAACAGAACTAGAACAGAACTAGAACAGAACTAGAACAGAACTAGAACAGAACTAGAACAGAACTAGAACAGAACTAGAACAGAACTAGAACAGAACTAGAACAGAACTAGAACAAAACTAGAACAGAACTAGAACAGAACTAGAACAGAACTAGAACAGAACTAGAGCAGAACTAGAACAGAACTAGAACAGAACTAGAACAGAACTAGAACAGAACTAGAACAGAACTAGAACAGAACTAGAACAGAACTAGAACAGAACTAGAACAGAACTAGAACAGAACAAGAACAGAACTAGAACAGATCTAGAACAGAACTAGAATTGACCTAGAACAATACTAGAACAGAACTAGAACAGAACTAGAACAGAACTAGAACAGAACTAGAACAGAACTAGAACAGAACTAAAACAGAACTAGAACAGAAATAGAACAGAAATAGAACAGAACTAGAACAGAACTAGAACAGAACTAGAACAGAACTAGAACAGAACTAGAACAGAACTAGAACAGAACTAGAACAGAACTAGAACAGAACTAGAACAGAACTAGAACAGAACTAGAACAGAACTAGAACAGAACTAGAACAGAACTAGGTCAGAATATAACTAGACCCTGTGGAATCTATATTTCTTCCCCCTTTAAGTGTTCCAGTTATCTTAAAATAAACACCTACCAATTAACTATTTTTCTCTTTAGTTTTTCATATTCTCTTTCACTAAAAGTTTCTTAACTGTCCTCGTATTTAATTGAAAGAGTTTTTCAATTTAGTTTCTTTTATAAGCCTACTTTCAAGCATTTTTCCCTTTTTATACATATTTATAATTTTAGTGTTGCTGTGTACTACAATTTTTGCAATTTCATGCTAAATTTTATGCTTGTTAATTTTTATTTATTTCTATAATATAAATTTATTTTTTCTAAATTTTTTTTATCCTCTTCTATACTCTTTCAGCATTATCGTATGCATCCTTTTTTCAATCTTATAATTTTCATAATTTTTCTCCTTTTTTATTAAATTTTTTTCGTATTTATTCAAGTCTTTTTTGTTGAAGTATTCATTAATTAGCGTTGTATACTTGTTAAATAGAAAGTTTTTCATGATTTCATTTTATATAGGATTTTACAGTTTCTATTTGTATACTGTAGCAATGAGTTTTTGTAAAATATTTTCATTGCTTATTCATTGCATTTTATATTAAACGCTTAATGAGAAAATTTTGTATCCACTTAAACCAACTACGGCATTTTATTATTGTGAGATTTATATTTGAAATAAAAAAAGGAGGGAAACGTAAATATTTTTTGGTAACTTTACTATTACTAGCTTGTTATTAGAGTTTTAATGGTGGGGAAAACACCGCCCACAACATATAAGTAGTTATATAAAGGTGGGTAGTGAGTAAAGGATGCCAGATGTTAGTTATATTTGTGGGTTTGAAAAATATGAACAGTCAATCGTTTAACACTTTATTCTATATTAAAGTCTCAAAAAAATCGAGAATAGGATCTGAACTAGAACTAAACTAGAACTGAACTAGAACAGAACTAGAACAGAACTAGAATTGAACTAGAACAGAACTAGAATTGAACTAGAACAGAACTAGAACAGAACTAGAACAGAACTAGAACAGAACTAGAACAGAACTAGAACAGAACTAGAACAGAACTAGAACCGAACTAGAACAGAACTAGAACAGAACTAGAACAGAACTAGAACAGAACTAGAACAGAACTAGAAAGAACTAGAAACAGAACTAGAACAGAACTAGAACATAACTAGAACAGAACTAGAACAGAACAGAACAGAATCTAGAACAGAACTAGAACAGAACTAGAACAGAACTAGAACAGAACTAGAACAGAACTAGAACAGAACTAGAACAGAACTAGAACAGAACTAGAACAGAACTAGAACAGAACTAGAACAGAACTAGAACGAAACTAGACTAGAACAGAACTAGAACAGAACAGACAGAACTAGAACTAGAACAGAACTAGAACAGAACAGAACTAGAACTAGACAGCACTAGAACGAGAACTAGAACAGAGACTAGAACAGAAACTAGAACAGAACTAGAACAGAACTAGAACAGAACTAGAACAGAACTAGAACAGAACTAGAAGAACTAGAACAGAACTAGAACAGAACTAGAACAGAACTAGAACAGAACTAGAACCGAACTAGAACAGAACTAGAACAGAACTAGAACAGAACTAGAACAGAACTAGAACAGAACTAGAACAGAACTAGAACAGAACTAGAACAGAACTAGAACTAGAACAGCACTAGAACTAGAACAGCACTAGAACAGACTAGAACAGAACTAGAACAGAACTAGAACAGAACTAGAACAGAACTAGAACAGAACTAGAACAGAACTAGAACAGAACTAGAACGAACTAGAACAGAACTAGAACAGAACTAGAACAGAACTAGAACAGAACTAGAACAGAACTAGAACAGAACTAGAACAGAACTAGAACAGAACTAGAAAAACTAGAACGAACTAACAGAACTAGAACAGAACTAGAACAGAACTAGAACAGAACTAGAACAGAACTAGAACAGAACTAGAACAGAACTGAACAGAACTAGAACAGGACTAGAACAGAACTGGAACAGAACTAGAATAGAACTAGAACAGACTAGAACAGAACTAGAACAGAATTAGAACAGAACTAGAACAGAACTAGAACAGAACTAGAACAGAACTAGAACAGAACTAGAACAGAACTAGAACAGAACTAGAACAGAACTAGAACAGAACTAGAACAGAACTAGAACAGAACTAGCAAAGAACTAGCACAGAACTAGACCAGACTATAGACTAGACTATATAGACTACACTATAGACTACACTATAGACTAGACATTAGACTACACTACAGACTGGACTATAGACTACACTGTAGACGAGGCTATAGTCCAGAATGTGGACGAGAATACTATAGACGAGACGATAGACTAGACTATAGTTTAAACTATAGATTAATTTACAGATTATTATCACCTGATTT